TAACCCCTAACTAAACCCCGAAACCCGAGTCAACATGCTCCCCGAGGTGGCAAGATTACTTTCCAAGCATGGCGTCAGCACGAGCAGCTACGGACGGGAAGGCGCCGCCGGCACCTAACTCCCAAGCTCCCTTCCTGTAAGTAGAGCAACCATAAAAGCGAACCCTAAACACCATAAGCCCCAAGACCATTAATAAGCCCTAAACCCCACTTCCCCGAAACTCTTGGAATGCTTCTATGCGCTTCAAGCGGAGTTTTGCTTTCGGATAGTCTGTCGTAGAGATCGTTGAGCTCCGTGTCGCCCAGATCGTCGGCAGTGACTTTCTGCAAAAGGCTCTCAACCCCTAAGTCCTGTTTGGACCCTAAAACCTAAACCCTAAACCCAAAACCCCCTAAGGTAAAAGCCAGAAAGTTGGAATATCATTATCCTAACCCTTCTATGGTAAATTATAGGGTATCCTACCCTAAACCATATTCCAACTTTCTGGAGTTCCCTTTAGACCCTAAAACCCTCAGCCCGAACGGGCCCCTGAGCCCGGAAGCCCCTCAAATCGTATTGATGCCCTCAGGAGCCTCGCACGGAGCCTTAAAGGAACCCGCGTAGATCCCTTAGCAAGAACCCTACAGCTCTTTAAAAAGACCTTCAATGGAGAGCTCGCTAACTGTGGGGGGTTGCAGGAACTGTTATGTTATGAGGTTCGGGCAAAAGCGACATTTGGGGTTTCAAGCCTCGTTGACTGGAGGGCCCAGGCTTTCAGATTTGAAGGGGTTTGAAATTAGGGCTTCTGGTTTGGGGCCAGGGTTTTTATTGTTGTTATCATTGTATGGTTATCATTATTACGACTGTTATGATTATTGCTGCAACAGGGTTTAATTAGGATTTATGGTTAAGCACGGTTTGCGCCGAGTTCAGATGTGTAGTGTAGGTGTTTGGTTGAAGTGTCGGCCGTGCTGTTGTCCTGCCTTGCCCTTTCCAGGCCCCTGCACGGCACTGCTCTAAAATGAAGCCGTAGAACCCTAATTTATACACGCTAAAGCTGATTCTAACTATTTAGGCCCCATGTATTCGTATATTTTCAGGTGCACCAAAGCCTTAACTCTTTATTTTCGAGGCCGTCACGCTGATGTTGTCCGATGGGTTGGGGTACATATTGGTACACAGTGCAGTCAAGGCCCAGCAATTAGTGCCGAGCACGGATACCTGTGCATCGATAAGGTGGAGGATGTGTTGTGAGGTAAGGGAGCTGCACTCAAGGCCGTCGGAATTTTATGGAGATTTATCTCCAAGCCCTTTCGTGTGCCAATTGGAGCGAACATATGCTACGGCATCACAGTTGAGAGGCTCCGAAGTGATTTTGCATTGAAATAGAGAGCGTATCAACGGACCCTAGTGGCAACAGAACAGACCCTCAAGCTCGGAAACCAAAGCCCAGCACCTGAAACTTTCAGCGAGCCCTCGAGCTCGAACCTTGTATCCCGGACCTTAAATCCCACATTGAAAATGATATACCCTTAGTCATTATAAACCCATTATATAGCCCATTATAGGGTAGGGGTCCCCATTAAGGGTCCTTCCTTCAAACCTAGACCCTAAGCTCCAGGTTCTGAGCCAATAAACCCTAAACTCTCAGCCCTGTAGTCCGAAAAGTCGGGTCTCCGACACCCCATGCAGTCCTGTCAGGCTGTCTCACCGTCAGGGATCTAGCCAGGGAGGCCGCTTGTTCGTCTTTGTTTGCAGATCGGGAATAGGAATTGGGATCTGGGATTTAGGGTTTAGGGCTTCAGGTCTCTTGGGTTTGGGATTTGAGCTTCGGTGTCTTATGAGCACTTCGACATGTTCTACGCTTCGTTCGCTAGGTGATCCACCATAGCATCACCATCATCGAGACCTACGAGCTCATGTCATCAGGGTAAACCGGGTTTCGGGTGTGGTGGTTTGGGGCTTAGGGACGGGGTCATGCTAGGAGTTTGCCTTCGGGAGCAGCGACGGGATCGAAGCACGAAGGGAAGGGGTCGAAGCACCACACCCTGATCTACCCTAAACCCCTAAACCCTAAACCGTAGTCCTGGGGCAGTAAGGGTCTGGGGCTCAAGGGTTTGAGGCTTTTTTTTAGGGCTACGGAAGCTTTTGGGTTTTGAGCTTTTTGGATTTAGGCGGGTTTCGAGTTCAGGGTCTACGGACCCAGTAGGCAGAGTTTAAGTAGGCTTTCTATGGGATACCATCCTAGACCCTAATTCCTACAACTCAAAGGCTAGATACTAAACGCTTGACCCTAAACCCTAACTCCCTAAACCCTAAATTTTAGACAGCTACGAAGAAGGTGCGCCAGCGCAGGGTGTGGATTGAAGAGCAGAAGGAAAGCAGGATGGAAGGAAAGCAACCGACAACCACAATTCAGTTTAAGAAAATTCGCACCAAGTGCCACTCACACAAAGACACGTCCAGAAGGCACAGAAGATTGACAGCAAGTGGCAATATCTGGGGGCTTCAGTCGCCCAGTCACACGAAGACACGTCCAGAAGGCACAGAAGATTGACAGCAAGTGGCAAGGACATCCAAGCACCAAAATCGCAGAGCTGAGCAACGGATCTCGTACACACAATGCGCTTCGAGAGAAAATACCAGCAAAGCAGACCCCTCCTAACAGAATGTGGAAGGATTACTCCATTGTCAATGAAGGTGCAACTGCAGCAGAGGCAATGATGTCTCCCGAAGCGGGCTCCACATACCTACAAGTCCCGTGTGATTGCAGATTTCCGGTTCAAGCACTTCGCGTGAAGGCCAGCCTCGCAAGTCGTGCTTCAGACACGAGCCCCAGGGCCGGGATCGGCTGGAAGGTGAATGTTCTCGAAGTAAGTCTCGCGCAGGTGTTGAGCAAGCAAGCTGCAGCGCAGAGGTTGTGTCAACCGCACAATCGAAGCGTTCCACTTCACGCAGGGACCTCAGTTTGTGATCTAATTTTTATCGGGTGCATCCCCTTCGCGACTTTAAACAGGACTTTCAACCACAAAGGGGAGTGGAAGCACCTATACCTCTGGCTGGTTGAGCTGGAGTGAAAAAAGACAGAGCCTTGCAATAGGAAAAAGCCAAATGTGGTGGATTGGAGGACTGGAAAAGGCAAAAAAAAGAAATTGGTGGTTTGGAGGGGTCTGGAAACGGCAAACAAACCCAATTTGGGAGCTTGGAGGAGACTACTACTACTACTACTACTACTACTACTACTGCTGCTTGTGCTGCTGCTGCTGCTGCTGCTACTGCTAGTGCAACCACTACCACCACCACCACCACCACCACTACTACTGCTACTACTACTGCTACTCCTACTGCTACTGCTACTGCTACTACTACTACTACTACTACTACTACTACTACTACTACTACTACCACTACCACACCAACCATTAATTACTACTTGCTACTTGTTACTCTACGCGACTATGACTCCGACGACTGCGACGACGACCACTACTAGGGGATGTGCGCAGGAGTCAAGGTAGCCTCCGCAAATTTCTGAGACGCGGCTAATTGAACACACATCTCGGGGAGCTCACGAAGGAGCTCGATCCTGAGGCGCTTGTGCTGCACATTGCTAGCAAGTTCGGTCGACCTGGCCCGTAGCCATGCTGAAGCATGAGCCCACACATACCCAAAGGGAGAGTGAAGAACTGCGGTGTTGAACATCTCGTCTCGCAGCCTCCTGCGTCGGTTCTATCCGGTTGGAGATAGCAGCGGCCGATGCAGGAGTGGGCACGGCTGGAGGAGTGGCGGCACGCTGCAAGGGCCAAGGTGCCATCACGGCAACACTGCACTGCAGTCTCCAATTTGGTGGTTTTGGGCTCCTTGCATCTTGAACCTGCATGTAAGCCAGAATGTCGACCTAAACGGATGCTGTGCAGCATGCGTGCGCATGAGAGGGCACGCTTAGAACAAGCGAAGCTACGACGAGAGACATCAGGGACGCTTAGCATCATCGTCTTCGAATCTTATAATGCTGAGTTTCTGGTTTACTCGAAATTCGACACCTAGCTTTCTCATAATTAGTGGCCAGTGATTTGAGATAAAGTTCCTGCATTTGGATTGCATTTGCAGCCGCAGGCTTCAGGAGTCGGGGGAGTCAACAGAAGATACCCTTCCTTTGACAGGAGACACGATTGAGAAAATGTACCCTAACGAATGATAATCTTGCATTCTTCGTCGTGGGGGCTTACACGTAGAAGACATCCTGTTGTCCTGCGGGCAGGCGAAGGGGAGTGGCATCCCTTTTCCACCGCCCAAGAAGCCGCTTCCGGCCAAGCCCCCTACGGTAACCAAGGCCGGACAAGTGCACCTACAATGCTTCCTCTTGCCTCCACGCTAAACTTTGTCGGGCCTTGAGGTGCTAGGTCCGTCAGCCCTTCAGCTGTCTCTGGAGGACAAGCAAATTTGGGATTTGGAAAGGGTCTGGAAAAGGCAAAAAAGCCAAATTCGGGGGCTTCGAGCGGGTTTGGGAAAAAAAAAGAAATTTGGGGGCCTGGAGTAGCTCTGGAAAAAGCAAAAGACTTAAATTTGCGGGCCAAAAAACCCAGTGTGGGGGCTTAGAGTGGCTTTGGAAAGTGCAAAAAACATGAAATTTGTCGTTTTGGAGGGGGTCTGGAAGAGGCCAAGAAGCCAAAGACCGGGGCTTGGAGGGGGTTTGTAAAAGGCTAAAAAGCCAAATTTGGGGGCTTGGAGGGGCTCGGACAAGGCCGAGAAACAAAATTTGGTGGCGGGCCAAAAAGCCAAGTTGGGGGCTTGGAGGGGGCTTGGAAAAGACCAAAAAGCCAAGTTTGGGCGCTTGGAGAGTTTCTGGAAAAGGTTTGGGGGCTTGGAGTGGCTCTGGAAAGTGCGAAAAACGCTAAGTTTGGGGGCTTGGAGAGTGTTTGGAAAAGGTGAAGAAGCCAAATTTAAGGGCCGAGGCTTAAAAATTAAAGTTTGGGTGCTGCTATTAAGGACCGTTTGGGCTCGCGGGCACCGTTCCCTACATGGCACCTGAAACAGCAGAAGAGCGCGAAGACCAGTTCAAGGCGGTGGATGTGTGGAGTGCGGCAGTGACTTTGCACCAGCTCGCTTCCGGAAGCCTTCTTTTTGGGCTTCACAGCGGTTCGACGCAACTGCAGCTGTGCAGTCTTTTGAGCTGCATCTACCGTTGTTGCAGTCCGATGCCTCCAGAGTCGGCGAGGATCAGCCAAAACATTTGGCGCGTCGTCCGACACATGCTGCATGTGGATCCGTACGAGCGGATCAGCATGCACTGGACATTTGGCCCACCGTGGCAAGCTCGGATTGACCCCCCCCCGTGTGTACTGGTAGTGCTGACGGTCATTGGACAGAGGTGCAACGAGCCCGTTCGGGACAAACTTGCAACGTTCCCCATGCAGCTCTTGTCGGATGCTCTTAAACTGTATCATGTTTCGAGATCCTGCACGTGGCATGGTGTGGATTTGATACTTGTGCTCACTACCTGATGCTGCATCCTTGACCTCGTAAGCCCGAAGACCAGAGTCTAGAGCACGGCTATTGATTTTGACAGCTTTACGTGTAAATAAGTTTACGAGGTTCTTTGACTTTACACGGTCGCAAGATGCAGCAAGCCAGAGTCAATCCGTGGCACGCCAGCAAGAGACTGCATATCCAGTTTCAGCCAGCCCCAGCGAGCAACCGTTCAAAACCATCAGCAGCTTCATTTCCTCAGCGGGCACGCGCAACATGTGCAACCATTGAATAGCTAAAGCGATGTCGAAGCCCCTATGTGCGTCACAAAGGCCCCATCTGCGGAGCTACGGTAAACGCTTCTGTCGGCCAATCATGGGCATCGACCAAATCCCTGGAGCTAGTGGGAGCTGAAAGCTGGTTGGGCTGCCTGAAAGAGCCGGGGGGCGCCGCAGACACTAAAACGAGAAAACAAAACTCAACCCAAGGGGTTGCCGGTTAAGCGTCAACTAGAAAGAAGTTTTGCTCAGGGCGCCAACTGCGTTGGCGAACCTTAAACCCTTAAGCCCTAGGTAAACCTGAGAACCCTATGCTTTAAAAGGTTCTCTACCCTACCCCGACTTGGAGGCTTCGAGGTCCGCTTTATTGTGCAGTCCCCTTACTCACAAGAAGCCTTCCTTTAGTAGTAGCGTTTCATTACTATTTTTGTGGGGGCGGTATCAGGCCAAGGGAAGTGCTTTCGAGGCGTTCGCAAGTGTTGCTGTGCTGTGGTTCGGGCTTTACAACGGTTTTATGTTGCAAAGAATATTTTCATGGGGACCTTGATACCTAGGCCCATAGAGTCGGGATTTTATTTGTCAGGCGTTCAGGGTGTAGGGTGCCTTAGTGTCAATCTCTGAACCCACATCATGCGAAGCGCTAGAAGGCTCTGCGAAACAGGGTGGGGCTTAGGGCTCGTGGCTCGGGGTTCAAGCTTTGTAAAGCTGTATACAGCGGTATGTAAGCCCCTGCTTCCTGAATTTATGCCCTCCCGCATTAGCTTGGCACAGGCCCGGTAATTCGAAGCCCAACATGCCACAATCTTAAATCCCGAATCCTAAGACCCAAACCCCAAAAACTCAACTTCGAAGATTAAGCCACATGCCTTCAAGCATCTCATCGCCAGCCAGCTAGGTTGCGCAGGGCTTTTGCAAGCTCGAGCCAGATGAGGCTGGCTGTCGTGCTCTTGCCAGTCAGTTCCTATGAGTATTGCAGTTGCCATCCAGTTTTGTTATTCGTCTTGCCGTCATCATCATTTGCCAGACTTATTACGACGATTACTACTCATCTTACTCTCATATGTTATGTAATTTTGATGGCACCATTTTGGTTCTCATTTCCAGCATTGCTGTCATGATTATGCTGACCATCATGGGTGTTGCTACTATGATGATGATGATGATGATGATGTATTTGGATATCGACCAAAAAATGTTGCTGGACATACTCATATTCTGATGAGACGGATTGTGCGCTGCCAGAGTTTCCACTGCTACTACGACTGCACTACCACTGCAGCTACCAGTACCACACCCCAGCCGCCGCCACCCCCACAACGACGACGGAGGAGAACGACGACAACAGCAACAACTACTACTCCTGCTGCTCCTGCTGCTGCTGCTGCTACAACTTCAACAGCCCCTACCACTACTACCGCGAGCAGCATTAGCAGTATCATGACCACGATCAGCCTCAGCGAAAAAAGGGAATTCCCCCAACCCTAAAAGAGCCGAAAGCCCGGACCAGTCGGGGCGGCTCTTGCGGAGCCTCACCTTGGTGGAGATCACTCTCGCCTGCATCCCTGCACTTTCTGGGGGCTGTGGGGGGTTTACTGGAGAATTAGGGTTTAGGGTTTAGGGTTTAGAGAATTATGAGGCTTTAGGCTTGCTGAAAAGAGGGCTTTGTGAGTGACTAACATTGAAAAGTGGGGGTTTCAGATAGGGTTTCATGCGGGCTTTGTAAGGCTTGTGTGGCCTGGAATCGGAAGTTGTCCTGAAGCCTCAAACATCCTGGAACCTTAGACCCAACGTAGAAGCTCCCCATCAACACGCCCAATAGCCTTGTAGCGTTCGGAAAGCTAGAAAATGTGTCCCCGTATGCTTCCGAGATGGTTATGCTATAATATACCCTTCGACTTAAACCCTCTTATGATTTTGAAAGACCCTATCTCAGCCCAAAGCCTCATTGAGCGCTAAGAGCTTTGCTTAGAGCTCAAGGTTACATCTTTTGTGAAGGGTCTTAATGTTTAGAAAGTTTAGAACAGTACATGGTAGCATAATCTGAACAGGGTTCCCACAAGAGTAGCATTGCTACCAATTCCGACCCTACAGTGACCCCAAATCTAACGATCTTAAAATCTGGCGTGACCCTAAGTTCATCCCCTAGAGCATGTGGGCTTTGGGGGTTTGGGCTTGAGGGCTTGCATTTCGGTTTCTAGGTCTTCAGGCTTATGAGGTTTAAGGCGTAGAGAATTTTGTTTTTTCGGCCCAGGCTTCAGCCTTAAAGCGAGTGAACTAGGTCTCACGGATAGGCCTGGCTTTAGGGTTCAGGGTCTTAGTAAGGTTTGTGGCACAGGTCGTGCAAACCGTAACCCTGAACCCTAAAAATTGAATTAGCGGCCTCTAGTCTGCTGAGAGCTGCGGATTGGGGAGAAAAGGGGCTCAACACAGAAAGCATTCTAAACCCAAAGCCCCGGACCCAAAGCCCTTGAGGTTGGCGTAAGTCATAAGACTTATAATACGAATAATAACAACAATAATGATAATAGCGCCCTACCCCCCTTCCCCCCTACCCCTCTAAGGGTCCAGATGAGTAAGGCTTTCTTCCCCAGGTCGTGCGCATCACCGGCGGCCGTCTGGCCCTGATCGAGGAGGAGCAGATCCTGGACGATGGTGGCGCAGCCGCAATTTCCAGGGTGGATGCCTCCTTTAGGGGATCTTCAAGGATTTCATAGGGCCCTAATCGGTAACACAGGGTTTTGGGGGTGTATTCTGTTGTGGGTCTTCATACGTGTAAGGGTGTAGGAGTGTCAACTGTGAACTCCCTGGTGCTGGAATGAGCTCTCGACCCTAAGCCCTAAGCCCTAAAACCCTAAAGCCCTAAACTCCAAACCCCTAAACCCTCAGCCCCAAACCGGAAGCCCTAAGCCCTAAACCCTAGAACCCTAAGCCCTATAGCCCTGAACCCCAAGCCCTTAAACCAGACAGAACCTTACACCCAAGGCTGTAGACCCCACCCACGCCCTGACCTGAACGTGAAGATTTAGAGCACGGGTTGTAGGTTTTAGGATGCAGGCTTTCGGCTTTAGGGGTATTTGGGGTTTAGGGCTTCAGGGTTTTAGGGTTTAGGGTTGAGGGTTTAAGGTTTAGGGTTTAGGGCTTCGGGTTTTAGGGTTTAGGGTTGAGGGTTTAAGGTTTAGGGTTTAGGGCTGCGATGTTTAGGCTCTAGGGTTTTGGCATTTAGTGGGTTTGAGATCTGGGGTTTAGGATTTCGGATTTCTTCAAAGTGATGAATTAACCCTAGGCCGCAAAAGCACATGAGGCCCCAACGACTTGGCTTCGCTGTAGGAACCTGGTGCTTGTGTAGGCTTTGTAAGGATTTCTTAGGGTTTGTGTTTGAGAGGTCGAGGGTGCTCTCAGATTGTTAAGTTTCGAATTTCTGGGTTGAGGCTTTGGAGGTTGAAGTTTCGGGTCTACTTGGGCTTATACCTTATGCTCTCAAACCGAAAGCCCTGAACTCCAACCTTGAATCGTAAATGCCACACGGTAGCCCAGGCGTAATTATTTTTGTTCTTTGCACTGGGGTGGAGCCCTTGTGTTCCCCCTGAAGCCTTAAAACACCAAATGCTAAAGCCAACCGTAAACCTCTCCACCCTCAGCCTCTACCCTCATGGAGATCCTCCAGAGGCCTCGCAGGAACTCTTAAGCAAACTCCAAAACCGCACACGGCAGACTCTGGGAGGATCATTCCGGGGATGCCCAGTAGTACCCTTATTCCCTTTTGCAGTCCTAGTCCTAGGTCCCTGATAAAGTTATTCAATACCAAAAAGGGAGCCCTATTTATTCCTGGGTTACTGGGCATCCTAGCTTTAGGCAGAAAGCGGCGCTTCCCGCACCGGAAGCTGCACGGGAAGCTGATGAAGCGGGAGGCGAGGGGTGAGGGGGTGAGGGGCTGGGGGGGTGTTAGGATCTTTCCGGAGTTTAATGCGCGTTTTGTAGGTCTCACAGGGGTTCATAGGGTGTTGTATTGGTTTCGGGTTTGGGCAGTAGGGTTGGAGTGTAGAGGTTGGTTAAAGATCTGAGGGGGGCCTTGAGGGGCCCGGCAGTTCTTTTTTGTGAGTGGCTGTGCGGGCTTTCTTCATGGGCGTCTGATGGGTTTACTCAGATTTGATCTTTCTGTGCTTTGCAGAGGCTTACGGTTAAGGAGTGGGTATCGAGACCTACCCCTACTAACTGCTTAAACCCCAAACCCAAAACCCTAAACCCTAAACCCTAAACTCTAAACTCTAAACTCGAAACCCTGAAGCCTAAATCCTGGACCCCGTTATCAAGTGCAAAACAGGAGCTTCGAATCATAGTCGGGCTGAACAGGGGCAGAGATCATAAATCCCAATCCCCCGAGCGCTGAATCCTAAGCGCTTTTTGGGTTCAGGGTTTTGGGTTCAGGGTTTAGGGAACCCGAACCCTGAAGGCCCTAAATCATGAAGCAGAAGGGCACAGACGGCATGAAGCATGGATGCTCACGGGGAAGGGCTCTGGTTTACGCAGGCTCCTAAACCCTCAGCCCTAAACTCCATTAAACCCAAAGCCCGAAGCCCTAAGCCCACAGCCGACCTGCTTAAACCGAGCTGCTACCCAAATCCCCAAACCTCTGCACCCAGAGCCAAAACAGCCAGGTATTGAGTTCCGGCGTAGGGTTTAGGTTGCAGGGCTCCCACACAGAGGTCGACATGGTTCTTTCTATTATTCCTCGGGGTTCCTTGTCGATTGCAGTATGGTAGACCCCAGAACCCTAAACCCTAAATCCTAAACCTTAAACCCTAAACCATTCTGATCATCCAGGCCCCTACATTAAGCCCAAGGAGCTTCAAACTCAAATGCTCGGGGTCGATCCGGGTCTGAATACTTGCTAGTAGTAGCCCCTCATTGGGCCCCTTGGCCCCGACATTGAGGTCATTTCGAGTGGTTTGGAGTATGGGGCGATTTCGAGATTACGGTTTGAGGAATTTGGTAGAAGCGAAGCACACCCAATCCTGAACTGAGGAGGATAAAAGTGAATGCGCAGGCAATTTGTTCGTACTGTAAGTAAGCCCGACCCCAGTTAAGACAAGGATTTAGCGCAAATTGCGCCCAGTCCCCTGTTCGTGGAGCCTGGCGTTGTGTGCGCGAGCGGCTGGGGCTCGCCGCCACCTCTGATCCGACATGGTTCGGGCTTTGGGGTTCCGGTCAAGACACGGGATAAGTGGCGTTTTGTGGTGCTTGACTAGGGTCTTGGTATGTAGGGGGTTCTGCGAATTAAGGTAGAGTGTTGGGGGTTCATCATATTCCTTTCGTTTCGGCTCGGGTTTTTATGTGTCAGGTTCAATCTGAAAACGCCTTAGCCCTGAGCTGGAAAACACTTTCTTTCGGACACGTACGAGGACATCGCACATCACTTGCGGTCCATTGACACGTAATTCCAATTCGGGTTTCGCTTAGTGTTTCGCGGTTCCGATAAAGGGTTCCGATGTGGGTCCTGGATAGGTTTCCGATTAGGGTTCCGATTACGGTTCTGTCTCGGGCTCCACTTAAGTCCGATTAGGGTTCTGATTACGGTTCTGTTGCGGGTTCCATGTAAGATTTTGCTTCGGGCTCGCCTTAGGATTCCGCTTAGGGTTCCTCTACTATTCCGCCGAATGTAGGGTTCCACTTCCAGCTAGGGTTCCACTTATCGCACCCTGAAATCTCGAGACCTCCTTAAATTCTCATGTTCACGGCTGTGGGCTTTTCGGGTTTCAGTGTTTAGGAGGCAGGAGCATTTAGGGATGAGGGTTGAAGGGTAAAGGGTTTCAGGGGTTAAACGTTTCAGGATTTAGGTTCGCTGCGTTCCTGTTGAAGAGATCAGCTTCAGTCACCGCACTAAGGATATTGCGGAACATACTTTCAGTCATCATCAAAGATACAGCACATTATCCACACTGTATCAGAGCATGGTAATGCAGGTTGAGTTCTTCAGCACGAGCCCTGATAGCAACATATGCGACCTCATCAAATGCTGTGGAGGACTCAGTGTAAGGAGGGCACAGAAACGAGTTGGAACTTGTGATTGCGTCGTTTGCTTTCTGCTCAACGTAGCCTGCATCCTGAATCCAGGCTGCAAACTTACCAAACCTCAGTCCAAATCCTTAAACCCGAAGGTCAGAGCCGGTTGAGAGTTTAGGACAAAGGCTTCGCAAGAAATAAAGCTTACAGTGTGGCCGTATATACAAAGCTTCCATAAAGGTGGGTCTTCATGTTAGATCCTTTTTGCTTCCCAGAGCACGTGGCTTTCACCGTTGAGCCCGACACACCAGCCCAATCTACGCCCAAAGACCCAACTTGTAAATCCTGACCGTCAAGCCAAAAACTTGTAAAACCTCAGATGTAAACCCCATCATAAGTGCAAACCTGGGTGCTTCGAGCACCCTACCTCCCCCCAAACCCAACTCTAAGTATTAAGGCCCCTGCAGTTGCTCTCAGGCCTTTCGCTCTTCAGGCATAGATCCGAGGCTCCAAACCTCGCCGGAAGCCATGGGACGCCACGGCGGCATCAACATCCTCCATCAGAAGTCATGGCACGTCTGGCGTATGGACTGCGGCTGTAGGGCCGTAGGGTTTAGGGTTGGGTTTGGATTCGAATCGAGAGGAGACCTTAGGCCTGAAATTTTTGGGTCTTGGGATCTGGCTTTAGGGTTTAGGGTCTAGGGGTAGGGTGGTTTTTGTAGAGTTGAGAGCTTCTCGCTTGAAAGCTCGAGGTCAAGTTAGGAGCTGTAGGAATCTTGTTTGTTTTTTTGTGCTTTTGGAGGTTTCAGGGTTTCAACATTGTGTTTCCGGTCGGGAGGATGGGATTTGGACTTGGGGCTCAGGGTTGGCTTCGGGAGGCTTCTAGCGACCGTCACGGATCGGATACGGATCCTTGATAAGGGGTGCTTCAGGTAGGGATATCAAGCCATAGAAGCCCCCTCGTGAGGTTTTTTTTACCACAAAGTTATATGGTGAAGCTCCCACATGCAACGATCCCAGTCGATCCACAGAGTCAGAGTCTTCTAAACGCCAAACCGCAAAGGACTCCAATATCCTTAACTTCAGTCAGGGCTTCTCACCAAGGACCCCTAGCATCATATGAGATATATGAGGAATATATTCCTTTCTCAAGAGCCTCGACGAAATAGAAAAGGGCGGCCATCTTCCTCTATCATCCGGGCCTTAATCCAGGCATTTGCAGCTCTCCGTCGTTTTAAACAGCCTCAAACATCCCTGTTGAGAATTCCTGGAAGAATAACTTCGATGACCGGCCTACTTAAAGGAGGGTGGAGTTTTAGCGCATCAGGACAACCGCCTGCGGGTGGAGCGCGACGAGCTGCAGCATGCACAGCAGGAGAAGGAGCGGCAAAAGGTCGAACGGAAGGAGGCCCTTGGGTGGAGATATGGGGTTTCTGCAGGTCTATGAGGAGGAAAAGATTTCGCGATTACTGTAGGGCTTCATTATAGAGCTTCTTAGGGCACCTTATAAACGAGATCCCGATTGAAGGGCCCGGGCATTGGGGTAGAAAAAGGTTTAGGGATTGAAATTTTAGGGTCAGCTGTAAGTTAGAGATCTAGTTCGGGTTTATGAGCTCTAAACCCTTAGCCTAGTGTTTAGGGTTTAGGGTTTAGGGTTTAGGGTTTAGGGTTTAGGGTTTAGGGTTTAGGGTTTAGGGTTAAGGGTTTAGGGTTTAGGGTTTAGGATTTAGGGTTTAGGGTTTAGGGTTAAGGGTTTAGGGTTTAGGGTTTAGGGTTTAGGGTTTAGGGTTTAGGGTTTAGGGTGTCCATCTGCTTCAGGAGCTTTGGGTTTCGGATTTGGGGTTTCGCCCAAGCCTGGCCTTGCTTGTGATTTGGGATTTGGGGCCTTTCGGTTTTAGCCAAGCCGGGAACCTGGAAACCCTTTAGGGTTTAGGGGTTTAGGGGTTTAGGGTTTAGGGGTTTAGGGGTTTAGGGTTTAGGGGTTTAGGGGTTTAGGGTTTAGGGGTTTAGGGTTTAGGGCCTAAGGCTAGTTGATTTAATCGAAGCCCTTATAGGAACCCTTGTCGGAACTCTTTCCAACTTAAGACTCGCAGTTTCTCAGGCCTTTGAGAGCAAGCTGCGCAAGCTTCGCCGGAACGCAGCCGGCGAGCCGGCAATGGAGGAGGATCGAAGCTTCAGCTGGCACACGTCTTAGGGTCCCTTTGAAGGCTGTAAGACAGCTATAATAAGGGCCTTGTGGGTTCGTCCTATCGTACATCTATTGAAGGGGCATGGGACTCAGGACGTTGGTCTTCTTTCTGGCGAGGTTACTGTAGCTGTTGCCTTGCTTATCATCTACTCCTACCCCACATGTACGCTTGAAAGCAAAATCTTCCTTGGCAGTCGGAGCCTACGCTCCCTGTTGCAACTTCTGCGCCTTCTGGAGCGTCTGCGCCGCCGCGTGTGCGAGAGCGCAAAGATGAAGGCCGTCGCAACTATTCAAGTCGGGCTAGGACACGTTTACCTCAAGGTTTGGGATGTACAGGTTTGCGTTCAGGTGGTAGACGATTCGGCTTGGGTCCAGGAGGGTAAACCTAAATCTTTTTCCCCGCAATCCCACAACCCGAAACCTGCAAGCCGCCGCCAACAATAAAGCGGAGGGCAAGGCCTGCCTGGAAAACGGGGCCCTGCATCGCACATTGAGATTTAGCATATCTCGGACTTCAATCCTACGAACATCATAAACCCACTCCCAAACTCGAATCCCAACCCCCTCCCCCCCAACTCCACTAAGCCCTAACCTGAGCCTCTCCGAGTACGCTTCAGAGTGTATTCTTTAAACTCTTGGGATGCTTGTTGATTCTTGTAGTTTGCTTCCTTGGGTATGAGCCCTAAACCCTACACCCTAAAAGGAAGCTTAAAGGCTCGAGCTCTTGAGCCATAGACTTCAGTCCTCACTTGAGACATAGACTTCAGTCCTCAACCGGCCAGGGTTTCGGGTTTAGGGGTTTAGGGGTTTAGGGTATAGGGATGTTTAGGGTTTAGGGATTTAGGGTTTAGGGTCCGTGGTTTGGGGTACGGTATTTCCCAAGCCCAAGATCAATCCCCCAAAATGTTTCAGACCCATCAACCCAAGGCCTCCAGACCCTAAACCCTAAACCCCTAAACCCCTAAACCCTAAACCCTAAACCCCTAAACCCGAAACCCGAAACCCGAAACCCGAAACCCCAAAATCCTAACCGAAGCACGAAAGCCCCGAAACCTTCTGGAACCTTCAGGTGATGCTTATGGCAAGTACGGGGTGACCAAGTCCGGGCTGAAACAGGCAGCAAGAACAAGTGTGTAGGAGGAATGCTTTCGGCCTTAAATCCGAATCCCCAAACTTCGCATTCTCAACCGGTGTCTGGGCTTCGAGAGAATGGCACCCGGATCGTTTCAGATCCTTACACACCTTTACACAAGGGATCTTTGAGAGTTAGCAGCCGTGCCGTCGCTGTGGCATGTCTTCACCAGATCCCTGGACATCTCCGAGGATTTGACTCTTGCTACACGTTTTGTGCAATACCCCCCTAAAGCTCCAAACTGGACCCCAAAGCGTCAAACCTTAGACTCATCGACCCGGAACCTGCAATTCAGAGGGTTTTGGGTCTAGGGCCTAGGGTCCCTTCAAAGGGATTATGGGGTTTAAAGGGTTCATGGCAGGTGGGGCTGACGAGATGTGGCTTCACAATTTTTTCGTGCTTTTGCAAAGCCCGTCTAAGGAAGGCTTATAGAGTTGACCATCCCATAACCAAGCTCTCCTCGGTAGGAGTCGATATGATTAGTCACAGATTGCTACTGAATCACCGGCTGTAGAGGTCTCAGGACCCAGCAGCCAATCGCCATGGTCCGATGCGCCTCTTTCCACTGAATCAGAGTCGCCCTGGCTAACATAAGCACCACACCTGAACCAAAACACCCCAAACCCCACATCCTCAGGCCTGCATCCTAAATGCCAAGCCCCGAACCCCCCCCCCCCAGCCCAAATTCGAAGCCCGCATGAGTAGGTGAAATACTACCCCATATGAGTGCCTCTTTTTTGTTGTACTCTGAAGTTCACGCTTGCTCTATATGGTCATTAAGACTCGTGCGTTGAACTCCCAAAACCCCTAAACCCTAAACCCCAAGCCTCTCAGTCCCCATGCAAATCTCATCCCGAACCCTTCATCCCCGACATGGGCAAGGCCGAGGAGGATTTGGACAAGTCCCTAAGAGGGAAGGGCCCGGTGCAGGCCGAGGGGGGAGTCGGCCCTCGGGGCCTTTTTTTTTTTTGACGTTAGGTTTAGGGCTCAGAGTTTGGGGTTTAGGGTTCGGGGTTGGCTTGCTGCTTCGGGTTTAGGGTTTCGGGTTGTAGGTTCAGGGTTGAGGGTTAAGGGTTTGGGCTTGAAGGTCTGGGGCCCAAAGAAATATTCGCGTTTTAGGGGTGCTTTTCTTGATATCCCTGAATCACTGAAGGGGAGCATTCCGCTTCGTTCGTTCTGGTTTGAGCTTGAGATGCTTCAGGGTTTCGCATATCTTTCGGAGGGTTTATAAGCCCCGAACTCTAAGGCTTGAGGGCGTCGGGTTGTGCGGTGTGGGGCTTGAGCCTGAGAGTCTCTTGTGGCTTTTGGGTGCTGTTTGTTCAACCAGGATCACTTTTAGGAGCAGAGAATTTTTATCGGGTTACCCCAAAACCCTGTTGAAATTCTTCTGGCCCCCTACATTGTAGAATTCCTGAGCGCAGCTCCATCACCAGCCGCACCCGGAGCAAAAGGCGCCTACATTACGGCCCCTAAACCCTGAACCCTGAACCAACACACCCTTGGAGAGTTGAGGATCCTTCTTAGTAGAGGAGGGCTTGGGCTTGGCCCCGACTGAGCAAAGCGTTTAGGATTTTAGGGTTCGTAGGCTTTCTTACGTTTAGGGCTTTGGGCTATGCAGTTTGAATTGGGGTTGACCTCTTTAGAGTTTTGGGGCTTCAGAGGTTAGGGTTTAGGGCAACTTCACTGCCCAACCCTTTGCGATGCCTCGCCAGGAAGCATTGTAAAGTATTACAAGCGATTCCAGTGTAGTACTGAGGTTTAGGGCCGTTTAGGGTTTGAGGTTTACGGGTTGAGAACTTCGGGTTTAAGGCCTTCGGGCTGTGGGATTCGCGGCTTTGGGATGGGGGACTGACGGATTGAAGAACAGGGTTCAGGGTTCATGCTCAAGGCTCAGTGGGGAGTACTTCTTAAAATAGCAAGCAGTGTGCATCTAGCATGCATGCAGTACATGCCGTAAGCCCTCTAACCCCTTAACTCCAAAATCGCCCTAAACCCTAAACCCCATACCCCCAAGCCCAAAAGCTCTGGAAAGAAACGGGCAGGGCCGCAGCTACTGGGGCAAAGAAGGCCTCGGTAGCGGGCCTCACATCAATCTGCTCCGCAGCTGAACTCAGTGGGTGCACAGACGTGGATGTTCAGGGTTTAGGGTCTGGGGTTCAGGGTTGAGGAATTTGGGATGCAGGGTGTAAGGTTTAAGCCTGTAGTTTGCTTGTAATGGCTGACATTGATGCCTAAACACGTCCGCAAGCAGTTGCAATCATAAACTACGCCCGACGCATCCTGCCACCATAAACCCTGCAGTGGCAAACCGAAAAGCCCGGTTGTTTTTCATCAAAGAGACGGGTCGAACAAAGAATTGCGGATAGATGAGCCCTATCTAGCTTATCATCTGAAGCACTGTAATGTTCACAAGTGGGTAGCATGATGAGGGAGACCCCTTAAAGGGTACCCCTTCCGAACCCGACTTCTGGCTATCTTAACAGGGACCTTATTGAGAGGGTCTATATCCCCGAGGGTCCCCGTAATCCTAAATCACAAGAAGAGGATTGAACCTACGGTGGATGCTCAGGGCATCTTGCTTTAGCTACAGTTTGATGCGCTCAAAGCCATGTTGAGGTCCATATTATATGCCCACTTACGATGTTCCATGGTCCCCCGACAACCGTAGAGGTCGGAATGTCTACGGAATGTGTCGTAATTCGTAATGGTATCCCCTTGTCATCCGATGTATTTAGACTTGGATGCCCCCAACACCTCAGAAAAGGAGAAATAAGTCTACAAACACCATCCAGGCCCGCAAACAGATGCTGTAAGCATCCTACAACAGATTGAACAAGATCCTGCAGGCACCCTACCAGTCAAGGCTAAGCCCTAGAACCCTACCGCCCTGGAGCCTAACCACCAGCAGTATGATAGATCGTGTGCGAAATTCCCATAACTTCCAAGCAAAATCCAAAATGCGACAATCCCGTGGACACCCAACGTCTTAAGGCTGTGAATTTCCCATATTACCCCCGAAAGCCCGGCCGACTCCCTAAACCCAAGCCCTAAACTCTAAACCCTAAAGCCCTAAACCCTAAACGCAAACCCCTAAACCCTGAACCCTAAACTCCCCAACCCTTAAACCCCTCTACAGGACCCTTGTAGATCCCTTTAAAGGAACCCTAAAGCCCCTCAGACCCCAAACGTTTAAAAGCGCAAAGAGAAGGTTCGAGGAGGCAGAGCTGGCTGTGAAGCAGCAAGAAGCCGCGCATCGACGCCTGCGTTTTGTGGGCGTGTCCATGCCTCCTTTCCTAGACTCACGCAAACAAAGCCACGGCTTAAGGTCTAGGGTCTAGGGTTGAGGGTTTAGGGTCTATGAGTAAAACATAGAAAGATAGACAGGTAGATATAGTGTTTACGCAGAGGATACGTGCATACATTTTATTTGACTGGTGTGTGTTCTAGGGCTCTTTTGTTTTTCCGGTTTTTTGCGGGTGTTTCAAGATCAGGATTGCAGGAATTTGTGGCTTTGGGGGAGAGGATTGCGCTGGTTTGAATGTGACTTCTCAGGTTGCTCAATTGTAGGTCGAGGGTAGAATTTGTGTGGCAGCAGTGAACAAAGTCGGGTGGACGTGCCTAGGCCGCTCAACACCCCAAGCTCAGTTTGTCGAACATGCAGGACATTTGAATCCAGACCCCAAATAACCAGAGTACTCCCCTACACCCTCAAGCCATTTAAGCTTCCTTGGTGATGGTTCACTGAACCCCAGAGCCCTTCACTGCTCAACCCTTCAACCCCAAAGCCAACTCCTCAAGCCTGCAAGCCCTCAGCCCGACAATATCGATTTCTATCCGGCGGAAGGCACGCTCCAAACATAAAAGCCCCCAGCCCTGAGTCATTTACACCAAGGGCAACTGCGGATCTCCATCCGTCCGAAGCCATCAGATGGACACCCGAGGCACAGCAAGCTTCTGCGCTACCAGGAGACGAACAACAATCTTGCTGATACTTGGCCGAAATCCCAAAGCTTCAACACCCTCCAAGTCCCCGAACCTGCAGAGCTTCGTTTGGGAGCAGGTGTTTTGAACTCTTATATACAGTCTTGGTATTTGTGTTTGTTGCATGCCTCTCTTTCCTTCACAAACCATGGGGTTTGGGGGGGTAAGTCTTGCAGGCCTCTTCTGCGTGATACTTGTCAGTATTGAGTATTGCAGCCCTTCGCAGGTGCTGTGGGGAACAGGTCTGTGAAAGGCCTGGAGTTTGTGTTTTGATATTTTGCTTGATTGTGCTCCAGATGTGAGTTTAAAGCCACTTGTGATCTTGCAACATGTAAGGCTCTCACGGAGAGGGAGCTAAGGTCTGGCCACGAGAAGCCATGCTTTAATTTTCCGGCTTCAAGATTAGAGAACCACTTCACCGCAAGCAACAGCTCAAGTCAAAGGTCAAAAACCTCAAAATGAATACCCGCTCTGCTAAGTCTCATGATGGCTCAATGAAACCAATCCCTTAACCCTTGAACCGCGAACCGAACCCCAGACCCCACCGAAAGGGCACTGCACCCTAAACTGTGTCGTCTTTGATCCCCCAAAGCCTGCCCCTTCGAAACTCCGTAACCTCCTTCAACCCCCCAAACCGGGCACTGAACCCGGAAAGCCCTAGAAGACCCCAGGAAAAGGGCAAGAAGCGGCCTCTCTCCGAGTTTGACGAGATGACCCAAGAGAAGCCATGGTATCTCGAGGCAGAGAAGATTAGGGGTTTAGGGTTTATGGTTAGGCTTGCCTTGCGGTTTTATGGTTTAAGGCTTTCTAGGGTTTCGGGTTTAAGGCTTTCTAAGGTTTCGGGTTAAAGGCTTTCTGGGGTTTCGGGTTTAAGGCTTTTTAGGGTTTCGGGTTTAAGGCTTTCTAGGGTTTCGGGTTTAGGGCTCCCTTCATCGGGCTTGCTGGTGGTTTTGGTAGGTATTGCAAGGCTTTCTTTCCGGGCCGCAGCCGTTTTGTTGCATGCATTTGTTGTTTAAGCAGGGTTTCTATAGGGCTTTCGTAGAGTGTCTACCCTAAACCCTAAACCCTAAACCCTAAACCCAAAACCCTAAACCCTAAACCCTATAGCTATAGCTCTCTTAGAATAGAGAGTTTCGGGGGTCTCTGCAGGATCCTTGGAAGGTTTCTTACAGGATCTTCGGTGTTTTGGGGTTTGGGGGCCTTAGTGCCGTTGTCAGGATCTCTTTTTAAACATGGGTTTCATAGGGGCTTGCAGTTTTGGAAGGGTTATAGGTTTTATGAGGGTTTACAGGCTGTAGAGGGTTCGTATGAAGGTTGAGGTTGGGACGCAGAACATAAAAGCTTGGGTGCCCTGCCTCTTTTGCAATGCTTTAGGGTATCACTCCTAGACCCAAGAAGCCAAAATCTAGGAGTCTTGATAGTTAGAATACGGCTGTGGGGTATATTTCTACTAAGGTCATACTAGGGGACCCCCAAAATCATCTAGGCAATTATAGGGCCCTATATTAAACTCGCGATGCTCGATATCCTAATTCCGGCAGGCCCACCCAAACCCAGGAATCGTTGACCTGAGCAGCATAGCTCCTTGATGCACAGGATTCTCGCCCAATGCCCCAAACCGTTTTCGGAGTATAGGGTAAGCGTATTTCAGAGAGTTCCTCAGTGTTTCATAGCATAATAAATACTCGAAAGCTTATTCAAGCTCTTGCGGCCCCTACATTTTTTTAGGCCAACCTCGACCTGAATGCTGACGTTTCGTCAAGAAACCTTCGACCGAACGTCAGACGATAAAATCCGACTGCCCGAGACCTGACCGATGGAAGCCGCAGGTGCCGAGGGTCCTTACAACCCGTAAAGGTGTGCACCGAAAGTATTAAGGCCCTAAACCCTAAGCCGTAAGCCCCTGAGCCCTTAAGCCCTAGACCCTAAACCCTAAACCCAACACGTAGTTTCACCTTTTCTGTGCCCAGAACTTGGGCAGGCAGGCTGGAGAAAGGTCCGACCGTCAACGTAGATTAAGAAATACACGTAAAGGGAACTCCAGAAAGTTGGAATATGGTTTCAGGGTAGGATACCTTATAATTTACCATAAGGGGTTTAGGATAATCATATTCCAACTTTCTGGCTTTTACTGTAAAGAGTTGAAGGCGTGAATCCGACGCGCGGAACAGGTCCAAGCTCGCGGCCCTGACGAGGACTTGATGGCCGTGGCAGTGGGAGGTTTCCGGTGTTGCGAAGATGGGACTTTTGATTCTTTCTAGGGGCAGTTGTCAAAATTAGGGTCCCTTTTCCTTTTCGGGATGGATAGAGAAGTGGTTTGGGGGATATAGAGTATAAGTCTATAGAAACTCTCAAGCCATGCTGACATCGTTCAAGTTGTAGGGGCTTGCGGGGTAAAACGCGAATGCCCAATGCCATTCCGATTGAGGTTTGGGGCTTTTGTCCTGTAACAGGGCGCAAAGGCAGCACGGCACTCCAACATGTCATCCTTCTGGTCCCTCCGCTCTGTCTTGCCTGCAGCAGCCTTGGTTGTGAGAGCCCCGCAGTTCCATGCTGAAGCCCGCAGAAGCATTCGAAGGCCGCGACTTCTTGTGCCTTGATGCTACCTAGTCCTCCAGCTTGTGATTGTTGCTGCATTGCAGGTGCTGTATGCTCGGAGCATAGTCAGCTGTTTGGCAAGTGAGGCCAAGGCTTGTTTGCAGCGAGAGTCTCTTGATCTTCTATCCCTAGTAGAGGGCCATGAAAAAAAGGCCACCAAATAAGCCTTATACGAGACCCCCAACCCTAACCCCTAAACATTCCTAAACCCTGACCGCACCCCCACAAGCCTCAAACCCTGCAAGCCCGAACTCCGGGGTGTCCCTCGAGGACGGCGAGGATCCAAAGCTCCAGAAGAAGTGGAGCAGGAGTCGCGCGCCTCGCGTTCTTCGGGCTTTTCGGCGTCTAGGCTGTAGGGTTTAGGGTTTCGGGGGACCCTTTACGTTACAACAGTGACAGCTCAAGATCAAAATGGAAGGGTTAGGGTACACATCGAGTCTGAAATAGGAACAAGATCGCAGCAATGCTGCCTGTTCCCCGAACAGTCTGCCACACACTAGAGGGTTCCTGTTGTTAAGGGTAAAGATGGGGATCTATGTTGGAACAGTTTCTCTTATGAGCAGCGGAGGTTTGATGTTTGGAGTGTTCTGCCAGTTGGTTGTCAACGATGTTGGGTGCTCAGGAGGTCCCAACTTTAGTAGAAGCCGCTTATGAAGCATTAGATGCCGCTTATAGATTGCGAAGCTCTGAATCCAAAGCCTCGAACCCCCAGCCCTACCCCTAATCCTACAAGGGACTGTTCGGGTCGGGGGATCTTAATATCTTGATAAGGAGGTTAAGGGTTTGATGAGATGGTAAGATGCCGGTGTTTGTGGATCTATTCAAATTTTCCGGAGTTTCATTGGGTTTTTTAGGGTTTGCAATGGTTTCGTGGGGGTTTGATTTTTTAATGAGGTTTCAGAAGGGGTGAAAAGTTTTTGAGGCTTGAATCTCAGGGTTGGGGTTTAAGGTCAGGGGTGTTGATTTTTCGGGGCTTACGATATCTGAGACTTATAGCTTCGCCAAAGTGGCCCTAACTCCTAGCCGTCCCAACCCTTCCCTGAAGCCTAAACGCAAAACCCTAAACTCTAGACTTTTCCTGGTTGCCAACCCTTGTGTCGCGTCAGTCGGGTCAAAAGCCCTTAGCCTTCAACCCAAAAGCCTTAAATTCCAACGGTAAAAGGAGGGACCCTTAATAAGGACCCCTAGATATATACCCTTATTATAGCTATGATAGACCCATTATATAGCCCATTATAGGGTAGGGGTCCCCATTAAGGGTCCCTCCTTAGCCAAACAGCCGAAAGGCCTCGAAAGGCCCGAATCCTACGGTTGATGATGTAAATCCTGCACTACCCATAATAAGGAATATACTATAATTCCCATGGTTTAGGGTCCTTAAGGTAATGCAGGATTTATATCATCAACCGTAGCAGAAGTTTCTGCGAGGAAGCACGACCAGCTGATCCTCAAAGTGGTGGAGCGGAAGAAAGAGGCCAGCCTAAGGTTTGGGATTCTGGGGGTTTAGCGGTTTGGAGTCTGGGGTTTGGGCCCTTAAGCGTAGTTCGGGGTTTGGGGGTTTAGGGGTTTGGAGTTTGGGGGTTTAGGGTTTTAGCCCCCATGGTTTGGGGCTTTTGGTTTGTAATTTGTGCACGTGTGAAGTATCATGTTGTGTGTACGGCATTGTGGCACAAGTGCTCTAACAGGAAAAAGGTAGTGACCGAATGGTACAAGCCGTGCTGTTATCACTTGGACGGGTATATACAACAGTGCGTGTGTGCAGTGGTTTACAACAACTATAGGTTATCAGCCGTATAGCCTACGGCCTGGTCACAACTGGTTGGTTACAATACAATCAATCAGCGCATGAGCGAACCGGAACTTATTCCTGCAAGTATGGATACAGTTACAAGCACCGTGAACCCTTTACAGCCCCCGGTCACGGGTGGCCATACAGGGAGCGGCGCCCCCGGCTTAGTTTTCCCGGCACCAGCCTCAGTCCAACAATTCAACGTCTTCGCACCACAATATAGTGTTGAAGTACACGTTAACCAGATCAGACTGGAAGTCGGAGAACTAGAGGCTCAGGCAGAAGCAAGACACAGGCAACACATGCTGACCTATCAAGAAGCATCCGCAATTCATACAGCTGACTTGGAGCACAGAGCAGAACGAAACCACCTTGAAGTGGTAGCAGAACTGCAAGCAGCCTTGGCACAAAGCGAGTTCAAGGCGGCAAATCGCGAAAGGCTCCTGTTGTCGGAAATGACTTTAAGTCAAGCGCATTCCTATGACGAAGATCAAAGGTTGCGTCAAGAGTTGGCGGAACTTCAACAAAGCCGAATCACAGACGCATTGGCTCAACATTTGGCGGAATCACGCTTTGCACAGAACCTCGAAGAACAGGCGAGACGGCACATCGAGAATTCCCAGGAAGTCATGGTTGAACAGTTCCAAGCACACTTTGAGTTGTTTAGGAACAGGCAGAAAGAAGAGTATGAGGCGTCCCTTGCTGTATGTAGGGAACAGAATGAAGAGCTTCAGGACAGGTTGGATTCTGCGGAAACTGCACTAGAGAAGGTCTTGGATCAGTACAATCCAGCTACTCCAAAGAGTCAGCCAGTGCCTGCCCCAAGCACCCCTGCAGGTCCCTCTGTCGTCCCCAAAGCTCCTCAAGCGCCCATGTTCTCAATGCCGAACGTTATCCCCCAAGGCGCCAGATGTCTGTTCGAGTCAATGAATCCAGGAGGTTTGAATGCTCAGTCCATTCCGTCTGCAACAGCATCTTCAATCCCCAAGGCAGGACCTTCCCAGGCAGCGCCAGGAACAGCGGCCCCTCCAGCGGCCGATTCCGGCACGCCAGGGACGGACGCTTTCAACACAGGTCTCCTAGAGACCCAAATGGCAATTCTTCAAAGCCTAAGAAACATAAGGGGTGAGAGCAAAGTCGATGCTGACAAACCCAAAGTGAAAGAAGCAGAGTCCATCAGCCTTCCGGAGTTTCCAAGTCCAGAGTCGTATCGTTCGTGGAAAACGGCAGCTAGGGAAGCGGTCAGGGCAGCATCAGATTCACCTGATGAGGCGTTTAAATGGGTGATGAAGGCCTACGACAAAGACGCATCGCAGGAATCCCTTCGAGACCCCGAGAAATTCCTCACCCTTGACACGAAACTTCTTGCTGCACTCACCAAAGTCGCTAGGGGAGAACTCTCCCGAGAAATCCTCATTTTTAAGGAGACAGAAGCGGCGAAATTCAGGGCGGTACGAGGACGGCAGGTGCTCTACCTCTTCGATCAGTACTTCAAGACGAACGAGGAGGTTGGATCACTGTACTCCGTGGAGGACCTGCTGAAAGTAAGGTTAATCAATGACGACCTTTCAGTGTTCATTAGCAACTGGGAATCTGTCATGTCTGGACTTAGCCACACACCGGACGAAACGACCCTAAGAGACATTTTCCTTCGTGAACTCAGGCAGTCCAAGAGGCTAAAGTACGATCTTGAGATTTACGACAGGGCAGCAGAGGGCACGGATCAGCACACGTACAGGTTTCTTGTGAAGTCACTTAAGGATCTTTTGACCCGAGAGCGCAAACGCAAGAACCGTGACCGCATCGCAAGATCTCACGGAGATAAGTACGGTGCCCCTGCCTCAAAGTCTCCTGGCCGAACTTCCAGCCCCTCTTCAAGAGGAGGCCGTGGCAGATCGCAGAGCCCAAGGCCAAGATCACCCAGCAAAGGTAGATCCCAGTCTCCCAGCAAGCCTAGGACACCTAGCCCAAAGGGAGTATGCTACGATTTCCTCAAAGGAACTTGCAAGCGAGGCAATAACTGCCCTTTCCTTCACAAGAAGAGATCATTGTCCCCCAAAGGCGACAAACCGAAGAAGAAAATCAACGTGACATGCAAGTTCTGGAAAGAAGGCAACTGCAACAAGGGTGATAAATGTCGGTTTCAGCATAAGGACATAGAGAAGCCGTCAGCTCCCGCACCCAAGTCCGAAGCAGCCCCGGCAGCTCCAAAGCCAGGGTCACCCAGGGCCAACTCTCCTGCTCCGCGCAGAGGGAGAAGTCCCAGGGCTAAGTCAAGTGACAAGGCCCCAAAGACGGCCGCATGCGCCATCGCGTTCGAGAATACAGCGGATCTTGAGATCTCGCCAAAGCTCGCTATGGCAGCGTCACACGACGAGGACTACTGGGAGGTAGACTTCACCGGCAACAAAATCATCCGCCATCACAAGAAGTACCGAACAGATTGGTATGTTCCTGACAATTCATGTCCTGTGAACCCCAAGAAGCTTAGGAGCCAAGCTAAGCTCGAGCAGGTTTTGCCGGTCTCCCCTTTTGTTGGAAACAAGATCTACAACTGGAGGAAGACCCCAACCAAAGGACCCGGCAGCACATGGGTAGGTAAGACGATCTTCTACATGCAAGAACTCCCTAAGGTGAGTTTCGACAGCACTGTAGAAATGATTGCCATCGAACCGGAAGGAAAGCAGAGAAAGCATGCCTACCTTCCCAGGGTTTATGATGAAGTCTATCCCACTGTCGAGGCATGTCCACGCTCGAATCCTAAGGATCTGAAAAGGGCTCTTGTGTGGGCAAAGCAGTTTGCCACCATGATCGAATGCATGATTCACGAAACGCCTGCGGGATGCGGGTATGAATGCATGGAGGAAGGCTTCCTCTGCGAGGAGTGCGAGCGACTTGCACGTCCGTCATGTGCAGGTCTGGTCCCCGGCTTAGAATTCCTAGCGGACACCGGAAGTGAAGAGGACCTCATCAGCAAGTCGGACTGCAGAACTCACTTCCCCGACGTACCCATTGAACCTGCCTCACGTCCTGTTTCGTTGATCACCGCCAACGGGCCGGTAAAAGGTAATGAAGCCGTTAAGCTAGAGGTCCCTGAAATCAACAAAATCCTCGAATGCTACGTGCTAGATTCAACGCCGCCGGTGTGCTCTGTTGGTAGGAGATGTATGGATGAGGGTTTCGATTTCCATTGGTACGCAGGGAAGACGCCTTACTTCGTGACACCCGAAGGCCGGAAACTTTACTGCAAGCTGCGCGGACGAGTCCCGGTAATTGGGGATGGTACAATCGCTGTTCCCGCCAAGGATGAGAAGGCGGCTCATTCGCCAGTCATCCAGGCAACATCGGGTTTTTCCCGTTCAGCGGCCTAATAAGGCACGCCAATGCAGCAGAATCCGAGCCGGAAGGCGAATCCTCGGGCAGTGGCCTCGACCCCAGGATTGAAAAAGCACTGAAAGAGGCTGCTCCGTTAGGTATAAAGGCGGAGTACTTGAACAAACCAGGTTGGGTTTCGCATCCTTCCTTTCCACAGATGATCGTGGGGCACTTTCCCAAAACCTTTAGAACGCCTGCTACAAGGTTTCCAAAGCACGTCATCCGGAGTACTTGGACTTATGTCAAGAAATGGCAGGAGATCGAAAAAGACGTGGATGTAAGGACGTTGGACAATCGGGTAGCCAAGCTCCCTTCTGATGCCTGCATTCTCAGTGTAACGATCTTTAAAAGACCTGTTGATGACCCCGAGCCGGAGCCTGACAGCGAAAGAGAAGCTGAAGCTGACCCAAAGGACGAAAAACGTTCAGCCCAGCTCAAGCTGCAGGCCAATAGCCCGGAGCACAAATTCACCCACCGTCCTAAGAACCCTTTCTGCAAGGTATGCCAAAAGGCCAAAATGCTAGCGCCACATGCCAGAAAGCGAGGGGGGAGCTCCACTATCTTTTCGAAGAAGTTCGGAGACCACGTGACGATTGATCACATTGTGACCAAGGACTTGCGTGATTTTGGGATCGAAGGTGAGAAAGTTGCTCTTGTGGTTAAGGACGTGTTCACTAACTTTCGTTATGTGTACCCTGCAGGTACGAAGGAGTCGGAAGAGGTTTATGATTGCCTGTTGCACTACTTCGCTGTAGATGATGAACCAGGTATCATTTACTCTGACAATGCCCCCGAACTCAAGAATGCTACTGGAAAATACAAAGTTCGTCACAACACCTCACGACCTTACGTCGATGAGAGCAAGTCTGTTGTTGAGAGAGAGATTCGAACTGTGCTCGAGGGCACACGGGCGAACTTGCTGCAGGCAGGACTTCCAACGAAGCTCTGGCCCTTAGCTGCTCAACATCACACTATGGCTCTAAACTTGTCCAAAAGGATGGACACCGCGAAGATCCCATGGGACGAAAGGTTCGGTGAAGGGTTTAGCGGTAAGCTCATTCCTTTTGGTGCCAAGGTTCTCTATTGGAACAATCCCAAAGAGAACATCACAAATGCATCTAAGTTCGACCCAAAGGCCGAAGACGGTATCTTCTTAGGATACCACATTCAACCTGGCTTCATTTGGAGACAGGAATACCTCGTAGCTCCCTTAAAGGGTAGCCAAGATGCAATTGACAATGACGACCTGAGAATCATTCGGGTCAAGCGCATGGAACTTCCGATAGGGGATATGGTTTTTCCTCTCGCGG